ACCCCCTCCCCTCGTCACCAGCAGGCAACTTAGAGCCGCTGAAGGCCATCTCCACATACAATAAACGACAATATACTCTCCCTCCGCACCCGACAGTCCTAGCAGGCCTCATCCGCGGCTCTCCGATGACTATAAAATGCCGCTGCGTATGGGTGGATGGCTGCATGCTTCGACGAATGAAGGGACGGCCGGTGGGTGGATGATTGACATCCCCACCGAATGAACGGGCAAGCACACAGGGGGGTTGTCCCGCAGGGCTTCCCAGCCGCCACGACAGACAATACACACACACCTGCAGCCATGACAGACACCCAACATACACAATGATACGCAAGTGTCGAATGGAAGTGTCGAATGCACCTTTCCCTCGCTCATGGTGCTTTCATGCAGTCTGCTCATCACTGGTTGACGGATGCACGTCATCATCACGGCTGCGGCGCATGAACCGGAAGCCCCTCAATGGCCGATGATGCGCTCAATCATAACAACCAGCAATCGCCCCGCCCCGATGCGGCGCTGCGGCACTTCGGACGATTCCCAACCCCCTCGTTGCCCACACGGCGCTGCCAAGGCCACCCCCAACTGGCAGCCTCGTCCAGCGAGAAGTTGGTAAGCGACGAACCGCCAGCCGCCCCTCTTGTCTCTACGGATCTTCCTGGCTGCCTCCGGATCGCGAGCTGCCCTCCATCCGCTGACGGAGAGGTGCGGGGGCGGTGCAGCAGGCTGTCGGAAGAGCCACAGACCTCACCCCACCCTGATGGCCCAGCGAACCGCTGGTAGACCCTCCACGGCCGTGCGAGCACCATAATGTGGCAGGCGCTGCCGGTGAATGGACGGCTGCATGCTTCAACGAACGAACGAACGGACGGACGGACGGATCGATGGGTGGGCGGATGGAGGGGTGGATGGAGTGAATGCAGCGCAACCGACGAACTTGGGGGCTGGTCCGGGGGGCTGTGGCCGCCGCGACTGACGCACCCCTCTGACGTGCCCACTGGCACGCACACCCTTGGACGGCAACACACCTACAATCAATGACACGGAAGCGTAAAATACACCCTCTAGTTGCCCGTGGTCATGCAGCCTACCATACCACATTTAATGGTTTTTCCCTCCGCCGGGCGCCTCATCGGCCGCCGACTAAGCAAACCTAAAGCCATGACCCCTGAATACACACACGAACAGATGATGAACAAATGCACCCCCCGTCATGCTGTGTGCGTCCCTGCAGCCTACCACCGTCACATCATCACGGCTGTCGATCCATCGTCCGTGCGAGGGTGCCACGAGCCCCTTGGACGGCAACACACCTACAGTCACACCCAGCCTCAATGACACGGAAGGCTCAAATGCACCGTCTAGTCGCCCGTGGCGGTCTACCTGAGGTCATCCGCCGGGCGCCTCATCGCCGCCGACGAAGCAAACCTAAAGAAAGTCGTGACCCACGACACACACACACACACACACACACGAACAGATGATGAACAAATGCACCCCCCGCGATGCTGTGCGTGTGCGTGCAGCCTCGCGAGGCATCCGTCCTGGACTGCCGTCCGTCCACAGAAAGCGAAAGTACCTGCACCGCACCAACGACAACCACAGACAGCACCAGCCATCCCATCGATGGCATGGAGGTGAGATGAGCAGCCAGCCAGCCGGCCAGCCAGCCAGCCGGTGTCAGTGCAGGCCTGTCAGTAGACCCCAGTATGTACCATGCGGTCGAGTATGTTGAGACCTCAATGCTGCACATCATCACGGCCGCCGGTGCACCATCTGCAGAACATCAATCACGTCAACCGCGCGATCACGCCAACACCGATCCTCAGCGCATCTTAGTGGCCTGCCGCTGTGCAGTCGCTCGCCGCTGTCCTCCACCACTCCGCCGCCTTAATCAGCCAGCAGCCAAGCAGCACCAGACCGCCACCGCATCGCTGCGGCTGGTCCGCCACCTGACGAATACAAAGAGAAGGAGAGGAGCCGTTGGAGCGACCGATGGCGGTGTTTCTCGCCGCCTGGCGGCTGTCTGGCGTGTTCGCGGCTGCCCGCACCCTCCAGACGGCAGATGCAGTGTTGGTCAGCACTTCTAGTTTCTTTGTCTCGGCGAGAATTCTTCCAAGCTCGCAAACAATTTCAGCGCAAAGAGGGCAGCCAGGCACAGCAAAGGATGACAATGTGTGTGGTTGGCCTCTGTGTGTGCAGGGAGGGACCTGTCGAAGAAAAAATCGGTTCGTTAGGCGGTTTCTGAAGGAGGTCTTTGGGCGCGTGCGCAGCATTGCAGAGGTCACGAGGACCGAAGGATGGCCTCGTTCAGGTACAGAGGATCCACGAACCATCACACTGAACATCCATTGGGCCGCTTGCGGGCTTGGTTCAGGCGACCTCGTCGGCCCCCAAATTGCGAGCGAGTGACCACCACAACACATTGCTTCGTCCTCTGTTCTTCTCCACCCTTATCGTTGCCAATCGTCTGTAGCAGGCTTTCGTCTCTGACCATTCACTCAGCATTAGTTAACTACTGTTGGAGTGATGGAGAGCAGCACCAGGTTTGAGGTCAACCTGGACCTCGAAGGCGGCGCACTCTCCAGCTCAAGCTCATCCGCGCCCACCTACCCCGCCTCCACGCGAACAAGAGACCGCTGGTACGTATGGGTGCGGTGGGCAGGGCAGGGCAGGGCAGGGCAGATACGGAGACAAAACAGACAGACAGACAGACAGAGAGGAGGGATGCTATTAGGGAATGCAATGGTCTCCATCTGTCTGTCTGTCTGTCTGCTGTGTGCAGGTATGCCGTGACTGTTGAGGACCTTCCCTCGGACAACACGGTGCTTGTGTCGTGTGCGCCTGTGGTGTGTGTAGGATGAGGACAACTCCGGCCACCGTCAGAAGACCGCCGAGACGCAGTGCCTATTCGACCAGCTGAGGCCGATCCTGATAGTGCACCTCAAGCGCTATGGCTTCAACAAGCACACGGGCGCAAGCAAAAAGGTACTAGAGATACACACACACACACAGAGGGAGGGAGGGAGGGAGGGAGGGAGAGAGGGATGCTATACACTTTGTGTTGTGGTGGTTGGTCGGTTGTGCTGTGCTGTGCTGTGCTGTGCAGTTGGAGCACATGTTGGCCTACCCGGAGAAACTCGTCGTCTCCGAGAAGTGGCTCACCAAGTGAGTGGGATCACGGAGGACACACACACACACACACATGTATACTGGCCTGCATCTGTCTGTCGCACGCGTCGTGTGTGTGTGTGTGTGTTGTCAGGTCGTTCCTGTCCAAGTACGAGGTGCCGACATACGAGCTGGTCGGCCTCATCGCCCACGACGGGCAGCGCGTCAACTCGGGCCACTACCGCGCCATGTGCCGCTATGGCCCCAACCACGAGTGGTAAGCACGACACACAACACAACACACATCCGCACCGCACCGCACGCCATGCATTCCATGCAACGGACGCGCATCAATGTGTTACTATTGTCTGTGCTGTGTGTTACTATTGTCTGTGCTGTGTGCTGTGTGTCCTGTGTGCTGTGTGTCGGATGTCAGGTACCAGTTCAACGACACGAGCGTGTCGCCACGCCCGCTGCGCAAGGACCAGGTAGGTACAGATCAGATCAGCCGAACCACACACACCATCCGTCCGACACAGATTCTTCTCTGTCTGTCTGTGTGTCAGTACCTGGGCCAGCGGACGGCGGTGATGCTCTACTACGTCGACACCACGGCCACCGTCGACATCCGCCCCCACATGGCGCCCCGCGCCCTCCTCAACGAGCAGCCCTCGGCGTCCTCCTCATCCTTCTGGGTGGATTCCTCTCTCTGTCTGTCTGTCTAGCTGCCTACCTGCCTGCCTGTCTGTCTGTCTGTCGGTCTGTCTGCCTGTCGCCTGTTCGTGTCTGTGTCTGTCTGTGTGGGTGTGTGCACGTGTGTGGATGAATGCCTGAATGGATGGATGGCTGCCTGTCTGGGATGATGTTGGGTTTGTGCTTTGTTCTTTCCGTCGTCTTTTCACTGTGCCCATGTTACTCAGTCCCATGTTAGTCTGTCAGTCTGTCTGTTCGTCTGTCTGTCTGTCTATCTGTCTGCACACGAAGAGCGGTGGGGGGAAAGGGCCGGGGATTCCTTCCTTGTCGCTCATTGACACACATGCAATGCCATGCCACCACACGCCATGCTCACGATTTTTTTACCCACCTCACTCACACCCACCCACCCGCTAAGCCACACACTCAACACACACACAGCCCAGAGTTTTGTCCCAAGGAAGGGAACAGACGGAAGGACAGAGAGCGCGTGTCTGCCTGCCTGCCTGCCTGATTACGGACCTATTCAGCCACTATGGATGAAGGCAATGTGCAGCGGTCACCCTCTGTGTATGTGTATGTGCATCTGTATAATGCCGCCTCATGTTGACCTGACACAGTGACCTGCAGACAGACAGACAGACAGACAGAGGTGTGTGTGTGTGTGTGTACCTGAGTGGCTGGCAGTGAGAGAAGGTCCGGCCAGGTCTTGTCGACGGACTGCCTGCCAGGCGGCCGCGCCGTACGTACCCACTGCGCCCATACATATGTATTCGTTACGTTTAGATAGTCAGTCAGGCGACTTGACCGCCACATCGATATCAATCAGTCAAAGGGATTTGGTTTGTCCGCTGACCTGTGCTTCATGGGCGCGAGTGACCGACCGAAACTGACCGACCGACACGCTCTGAGTAGTGTGAGTGATACCTACCTGTTTGTGTGTGCGCTTGCTGGCACACGTGCTGCTGTCGAGCCGAGGAGGATCAGCAGAGGGGAGGGAAGCTGAAGGTGTGAGTGGGATGGATGGATGAATGAACTGACGAGACAGATGGATGGATGCCTGGATGATTCAATCGATCTCTCGGAGAGATCGATCATGCCATGTCATGTCATGCCATGTTGTCATGTCATGGATGTGGTAGTAGGGCCGTCGCGATGGGCCGGATCACAATATGTATTCATACACACGCACAGTGTGCAGTGCAGTCCATACGCACATCACATCACATCACATTCCTTAATGTGTCCGCACATACGCACGCCAGCCGGAATACCATGCAGGCCGACCATGGATCCTCCATGCCTTCGTTCACCAGCCAGCCAGCCAGCCAGCCAGAAATGCACACTCTCTCTCAGCCACTCCCTCCAACCACCTCACGAACAAGACCGTCATGCTTGTGCATCCTCTCTCTCCCACGTATGTATCATCCCTCCTCGCCATTACTCGTGTCCACGACCGAACGCAATCTCGTAACCTCAATTCATTCATTTCTTCAGTCAGTACCCCAGCCTGACATTGAGGTTCGTCCGTCCGTCCCCCTGCTGCTCGGTCGGCGGCACCCACAGCCCACCTGCACTCTCGTCCTGCGCGTCCACCTGCTCTGGCCGCCCCTCATCGCCATTGCTCGCCGTCACATCACGAGAAGCCGGCGGCATCGTGGGACCGATGACTCGCTTCTTGGCAGCCGGGCCAGATGATGCACCTGCAGCGGAACCCAACCAGCAAAGGAATCCTCCCTCCAGTGCAGAATAGAATCAGTGTGCAGGGCCGTGGATGCATACCATACAGTACCTGTCTCCTCTCTGCGTTTGGTGCCTCGCGTGTATATCCTCTCGAGGCCGCCCGCAGTGACCTCCACCAGTGGGGTGCGGTCTGCCTTGGCCGTCTCGGGCAAAAGCTGCGGACCGAACTCCTCGTCTGCCATCGACTCATCTGTAGGCGGGGGCTGCTTCAGCTCCTCTTTTGCAACGGCAGGCTCTTTCGGGATCGCTGCTGATGGTGGTGCCTTGGGCTTGGCTGGTTGGGGCTTCGGTGGCGCAGCTGACGGGGTGGGCACGGCGGTGTCCACGGCACCACTCTTGTCTGGCTCCTTTTTGTCGGCCGCCAGGTGTTCCTGCCCGCGCCTTGCGATGCGCAGGAGTCGCTCTGCGTCCTTGAGCTCACTGCTCGTGGACCGCAGCTTTGCCTCGGCTTCTTGTCTGAATGGATGGATGCATGGCCGGCAGGTATGAGAACCAGTGAGATGGAGGGACAATCGTGCAATGGCTGTGTTTGGTGTGTGTGGTTTACTTACCTTTTTTGTTTGGCGAGCAGGGCCCTGTTCTTGGCCATGAACGCCTCGAGAGGGTCCAGACCTTGCTCAGTCTGCATACCATGCCATGCAGGACAGATGACGCATGCACACACACACACACACATCCGTCCATCCATGCATGCCATGCGGGGGTGATAGCATGTGACATGACAGGTGTGTGCCGTGCCGTGCCAGGCAGCTGAGCTCACCGCCCTCTGCTCCTCGGCCTTGTACTGCGCCACCTCCTCTTGAAGCTTCGACTGGGCGCTCGTCAGAGATGCCACCTCCTCGGCCAAACTGACCAGAGCAGAGCCACAGACAGACAGACAGACAGACAAGAAACAGAGAGAACCAGTTAGTTAGTTCTTCGGCTGCTACGGAGCGGGGCGGGGTCCCTCTCATTTTACTTACGTTTGTTCGGTCTTTACAGCGGGTTTCCCTGCGCCCTCTGCTTTTTTGGCCTGTCGGGTGCCCGACTCCTTTCTGCACAAAAGCGCAGTGCAAGATAGATAGCCTATTAACATATGTTCATCCATGGCCATGAGTGGTCGTTGTGTGGTGTGGTGTGGTGTTGTGTGCGTACTTGGCCTGCTGTGTCCTGTCGAAGAACTCGTCATCGTCATCCTCCAGGGCCGTGTCAAAGTGATCCAACACCTACATGTCATGGGCGTGTGTGTATTCCATCCACACCAGACAGACAGACAGATGGACAGATGGACAGTGATGGGATGGGGCAGGGCAAGTGTCTGGGTGGTGTGTGTGGCCGACTGGCTGGGCTGACCCGCTTGCTGACGCTGCGTCCGCCACCGGTGGTCAAGCCTGCAAACGTCCACACAGACGGACAGACCGACAGCACCATACACACAGTACACTTGGAAGTGTGCACGGCGCGTGTGTGTGAGTTAACTACCCACCCAGCGCCTGTTTGAGCGATTCTTGTGCAAGAGCCACCTCCGACTCGAGCTCCTCCAGCCGACGGGATATGACAGATAGACGGTGGGTCTGACAAACAAACGGCCACCCAGCCACCCAGCCACCCATCACACAAAGGTGTTTGTTTGTTTGTGCAGAAATGGTGTGCTTGTGTAGTGTAGTGTACCTTACCTGGCCGTCTGTGAGTGTGTCGTCCTTGCTCTCGATCTTCTCCCTCTCGGTCCGCATCTGGTCCATCTTGCGCAGCCTCTCCTCTATCTGAATGAATGAGCCACAGCCAGCCAATACAATGTGCATATGCATTGACACACATATCCCCCCCACGCATTATCGCATGATCTGATCC